TCACGCCCTCAGCCCCTCACTGGGGGATTCTAGACAGGGGCTCTACCACTGAGTCACACCCCCAGCCCCTCACCAGGGATCCTAAAGGGCACACTCTGAGTGTAGTGTCGTAGCCACAGGTTCAATACACAGGCCTAGAGAGAAACAGCCACCAACATCCTGGTACCAGTGCAATCAGGGCACTATTACCTGCAATGCTCACCCCTGGCTCACTCCTGCCCCACACTCCACAAAATCTCCATCGTGCAAATCCCCACACACGCATCCGACTAGTTTGTGTGCGCACATGCTCAGCACCTCCACTCAGGAGCAAGTCTCCTCACCGAGTGTTCACAAATACTAGAGAAGCTTAGGAAAATAAACATCTCACACAACAGTCTTTCCCAGGAAGAATGCAAGAATGCCTTGCCCTTGAGGAGTCCATGGGCCTCTGAGAGAGCCAGATGGTAAATCGATAACTCAGACACCGAGTGAAAGGGGTTCTAACAAGCACATCGCAAAGGACTCTGGGAAAGTATTGCAAAGAGAGGTTGGCTTTTTTCTTTTTTAAATTTCCAGTGATACGTTTTGATTAGTAAAAGAAATCTTCTTTTTAGATCCCTCAACCTTGATTCGACATTTTTCCAGCAGCCCAGAAAAAAAGGAGATTGCTGCCCATGTGAAATCACCCCTGGGAGAAAAAGAAATGTCTCTGGTTCAGAGTAATCTCTATGCATGAATACCATTATGGATGGCATGGGGTTTAATAACAAAGCCGACCTGGAGAGATGGCTCCGTAGGTGAAAAGCCTGAGAACATGACTTCAATTCCTGGAACCCATGTATGATGGGAGGAGAGAACTAGTTCCTAAAGCTGCCCTATGACATCTCCATAAATGCCATGGCATGTGTGTTCCCACGCACAGACACATAATCACCCACACAAAGTTTTACAACGTAAATATGAAATTGGGTGTGGCGGCACACGCCTTTAACCCCAGCACTCGGGAGGCAGGGGCAGGAAGATTTCTGAGTTCAAGGCCAGCCTGGTCTACAGAGTGAGTTCCAGGCCAGTCAGGGCTGCACAGAGAAATCCTGTCTCAAAGGGAATGGAACACTAGAGAGATGGCTCAGAGGCTAGGAGCATTCCTGCCGTTCAAGATGACCCAGGTTCAATTCCCAGCACCCACACGGCAGCTCACAGCATCTATACCTGCAGTTCTAGAGGATTTGACCTACTCTGTGGGCACCGCACATATGTGGTAAATGGTCATGCATACAGGCAAAACACCCATACACATAAAATAGAAAGTAAAGGAAAAGAGGGGGCTTTGTTTATTTGGTTGGTTGTTTTTTTTTTTTCTAAGACAGGGTTTCTCTATGTAGCTCTGGCTGTCCTGGAACTCACTCTGTACATCAGGCTGGCTTTGAACTCACAGGGATCCACCTGCCTCTGCCTCCTGAGTGTTGGTTTTAAAGGTGTGCTCCACCAACGCCCCACTGTTTTTTTTTAAAATACATATAAAATATACATGTGTTTTGTGCATACTAAACAATGTGCAATCAACCCTGAGCACACCAGGCTGTCCGTAGTCACTGCTGCTGAGGAGTGGCAGGTACCCCGTGGAATTGTTCCCTTTGGTCACTCATGACTTAACCACGGGGACACATCCTAAGAACTGTGTGGTGGACTTGTGCAAACATCACAGATTGTTCACTCCGGATGGTTGTGACTTACTGTGTGATGTCATCTGAGGGGACCATGCCACAGACACAGTCCCTGCAGACAGAACTGTCATTATAATATACATAGCAGGAATGCCGTCTTAAAGAGACATGCCTTTTTTAAAAATACGTGTGTCTATGAGTGGGTTGTGCTGATGGGCGTGGATGCTCTCAGAGGGAGAAGACTGTGCTGGACCCCCTGGAGCTGGAATAACAGGTGGCTGGTTGTACGCCACCTGATGTGGGTCTTGGAGATCCAAACTCAAGGTTCTCTATAACATCAGCAAAGGGTCTCAACTGCTGAGCCATTACTTCAGCCTCCCAATTCATATATTGCTTTTATTTATTTATTTTGATTTCTTCTGCTTAGAGATCGGTGTGTATGAAAATGTGCCTCTGTGTGTGTATTGCTAGGTTTTTGTGGTACTGAGGATGGAGTTCAGAGCTTTATGCATGCTAGGTAAGTCCTCTACCACTAATCCACACCCCCAGCCCCTCACTGGGGGATTCTAGGCAGGGGCTCTACCACTGAGCCACACCCCCAGCCCCTCACTGGGGGATTCTAGGCAGGGGCTCTACCACTGAGCCAC